CTGCACCACACGCACGTATGTCATGTTAATACGTGAAAATGTGAGGGCATAATAATCTGGGTCACACATTTGAAGTGTGCATGGTCTCTTAGCTAGTGTGATTTGCAGGGTGTGATATATAGCTTCTACATTTTTTAATAAAAACACGAGTATACGATGCTCACTGCTGAGGTCATAGACAAGGTCAAAGGTCATTGTCAAGTGTGAAATGCAATCGACCCGTTAGTTAAGAGTTGTTTAGCTGTTTAGACCTGCTTTCGCGTCGGCGCAGATGCCTGGTGCAACGTCCACTGCTCGGAGTCGAGTTCGAACGCGAATTGATCGTGGATTTTGTCGAATTCCACGAAAATCTAAGATGGCGCATGCCGATTTAAATGGGTGTGAAGGCGCGTCGGTTCCCACCGAAGTCTCGATATGTCGGTCACGCGCAACTTGCCGTAAAATATGCCTCCGCAAGTAAGACTAAGAGTCCCCGTGATCGCGTGCGTGTCGACGTATGTAGAACGATGTTATTGTGAATATTGTCATGGGTTGCACAACCTCAAACGACAGTTCTTCGTTTCAAGTCTTTTGGCAAATCATCTCTCGAATCACGTTATTAATAATACCTGTTGTCAGGTAAGCACGTATTTTTGCATTTTACATAGATCTTTTAGTCATTGTCTATTAGTCAGTCATTGCATCGTGACTAGTGACTACCAATAACGTTTTAGCCTGCTTGTGAAAAATGTTCTCCAGAAAATGCGTATTTTTGATACAGCATGCGACAGCGACGACTGATCGACATTTGGAATTAACAAAAATAAAAAACTATTTTTTTCCCCAATCGGGTGTTCCCGAGTGTTATTTGTTGTCGTCGTTTCGAATCAACAGCAACGCGATCGACAAACAAGAGCAGAACTCGTGTGCGTGTATCTCTTCAACACGATTTAATTAATAAACATCTCTCTCTCTCTCTTCCTCTCTCGCACTGCGAGGCCCTTCACTCATCCTCCTCTGTCTGCAGCTTCTTCACGAACGCAGCTTTCTTCTGTTTGACGCGGTCCATGTGCTGAGCCTTGCTCATCTTCTTCCTGTTCCACCTGCAAGCAGAGAAAGAAAACCGCCGTGCGTTTAGCCGGACGCACGCGCGTGTAGCGTCAATGTCGATGATGATGATGTTAATGATGGTGGTGATGATGTTAATTATAATGTTGATGATGATGATGATGATGATGTTAATGATGGTGGTGATGGGAGGATGATGTTAATGATGGTGGTGATGGGAGGATGATGATGATGTTGATGAGGATGATGATGGTTGTGGGCGTTGATGATGAATGGACGAGACGAGGACGATTTCGCAGAAGGCGATTTCATGGATATGATCGAGTACGAACACCCGCTACGGACCTCGATCCCACGCGCGATCGTCACAATACCTCAGTTCGAGAGGGGGGCAGAAACGTGTTATCGGCGACCAACTGCACGTGACGTGCGCATTTTACCGTCCCATCGCAAAAAACCGAGCCTCGAAATGTGACCAGAATCCTGAACGAACGTCCGTAACCCGCATAATTTTTTTAAAATCGCTAATCGCCCTTTTTGCGCCCGTTCGGCCACGCGCTCTCTTCTAAAAAAGACTATTAACGATTTAAAAATAAAAAAACGATCAATTATCGATTGGATGTCGAGATGAGCGGGGCGCCCTACCTCTTGACCTTGCCCGTGTGCTCTCGCGCGGGTTTCGGCTTGTGTACGGGATCGGAGCGGATCGCAGAGTGTGCCTTCTTGTACATGTCCTCGAACTGCAAACGGAGAAAACGAACGAGGTGACATCACGCGTGGCGATGGTCGACGATTGTAAAGATGTGAAAATCCCTCTGAGATGTGCGAGGACGGGGGGGGGAGGGCAAAAGTGGGGGGGGGGGAGGGCAAAATGTACCTTGGCTGCCTCAGGCAGGCCCACGTGCCGTAGACATGCCATTGCTAGGGGGGTCTGGGGGCATGCCCCCCAGAAAATTTTGAAATATTTAAGCCATTTTCCTGCAATCTGGAGCATACTGTGGGCCATATTCTCATGTCTGATAACACTATCTCAAACCTACAACCCTTGTCTGATTAGCAGACAAACTACGCGACACCTTGCAGACAGCGCCTGTCCGACTAGGCTGTTCCATTTACCGTAGACATGCCTGAAAAAAAACAAGTGTGTCCAAGCAAACAATCAGTGCAAATTTTGTACAGTGCAACTGAAATGAGGAATATAACCTGCAGAATGCGGAAATTAAGCCTAGAAATCCTAATGATTCCGCAGAATGAGGAATGGTTGGAGACCCTGCACACGCAGACACACACACACACACACACATCGTCATCACTAGTGTTGTCAATCGGTTGTAATTTCGTAATCGATCATCGGTTGGATCCAAGTAACCGATGATTGATTACAATCGGTTACTCGGGGTGTTGAATGCCTGCGTGTGCGTAACGTCGTGTGCATGTACGTGTGTGCATGTACGTGTGTGCATGTATGTGCATGTTTAGCCCTGTTTACTACTGTGTGTATAATACATGTATGTTAATAAAGGATAACTTGTATAGTAGCGATAATATCTCTGATTCTCATCACTTTTTCAAAATTTCCATTTTTTTTTCTTCGATGAAATCGATTATGGATTTTGATAACCAAGCGCTTGGTTCGAGCCACTGTTCAACCAATGATCGAGTATAATCGATGATCGTCACATCACTAGTCATCACCCACCACCACCTCCCGCGCCCTCCCCGCCGCTCCACTCACGTTGTCGGCGGTGACGCCAGCAGCGACGTAGCGGCCGAACTGTCGCTTGTAGGCGTCGTCGTCCTCCTCCTCCAGGTGGCGCATGTAGTCGGCGACGTGCTTGCCGAAGATGTGTTCGCGGTGAACGCTGGCGTCGAATTTCTTCGTGTCGGCGTCGTAGCCGGGGAATCGCTTCGTGCTGAAGTAAGATACATGATCGTCATCATTGTCCATCCGTTACACGAGGAGAGAGGAAAGGAGAGGAGGAGAGGAGAGACAAGATGAGAGGAGAGGAGAGACAAGATGAGAGGAGAGGAGAGACAAGATGAGAGGAGAGGAGACAAGATGAGAGGAGAGGAGAGACAAGATGAGAGGAGAGGAGAGACAAGATGAGAGGAGAGGAGAGACAAGATGAGAGGAGAGGAGAGGGGAGGAGAGGAGTGAGGAGAGAGGGGAGGAGGGGAGGAGAGGAGAGAGGAGAGAGGGAGGGAGGAGGAAAATGAGAGAGAGGAGAGAGAGGAGGAGAGGAGAAACAGTGCATGCACAGCTTGGTTCACAGCACAGCACACGGTTCTGCCCCCTCATGCACCCCTTTCCCCTCCTCCTGCCCCCTCATGCACCCCTCTCCCCTCCTCCTGCCCCCTCGTGCACCCCTCTCCCCTCCTCCTGCCCCCTCGTGCACCCCTCTTCCCTCCTGCCCCTCATGTGCCCCTCTCCCATCCTCCTGTCCCTTTCCACCCTTGCCCCCTCTCCCCTCCTCCTGCCCCCCCTTCCCATCCCTGCACCCCTATCCACTCCTCCTGCCCCTTCCCACCCTTGCCTCCTCACGCGCCCTCTCGCTACCTACAACTCGCGCTCTCACCTGTGTGGAATGTCCCCTAACACACGACTCCAATGCCACTCTCCCCCGCCGACACCCCGTCCCCTCACAAGCCTCCCGTCCCCTCCTCCCCTCCCCCTCCCCCTCACCTGTGTGGAATGTCGATGCCTCCGTCGGAGGCGCCCTTCATCGCTCCGAAGATGCGCGCGCCGGTGGTGGCCCGCGCGAGACCGATGTCCAGGTAGGCTCGGAACGCTCCCGGCCGCCCCTCCACGTCCTCGACGTGGAACTGTTCACCGTCGACATTCGTCTGTCCCTCGTAGATGCCGTCCAACTCAAACTTCGTCAGCACCTGAGCCGAGGAGGAAGGGTACAGGTAAAGTAGAGAGAGAGAGAGAGAGAGAGGAGGAGAGAGAGAGACCAGCTCCAACTTTGTTAGCACCTTAACGGGGAGATTACAGGTATAGTAGAGAGAGGGGAGGTAGGGAGCGATAGTAGAGAGGGGAGCAAGAGAGGGTGGGGAGAGAGAGAGAGGGAGAGTAGGGCAAGAGAGGGGAAGGGGGAGGGAGAGGGAGAGGGAGAGGGAGAGGAGCGATGAGCGAGACGAGAGAGAGCAGAGGTGAGTGAGTGAGTGAGAGAGAGAGCAGAGAGAGAGAGAGAGAGAGAGAGAGAGAGAGAGAAAAAGTGAGAGGGGGGGGGGGGGGGGGGTGGGGGGGGGGGGGGGCGGGGGGGGGCGGGGGGGGTGAGAGAGCAGAGAGGAGAGAGAGTGAGAGAGAGTGAGCAAGAGAGGAGAGAGACGAGGAGAGACACCAGTCCCAAAACTTCGTCACGACCTGAGCTGGGGAAGAGAGTACAGGTAGAATGGATAGGCATAAGTCGATGGCAGTAAGCAAGCTATCAACAGTACTGAAACACCGGGATCGTGTACAATCTACGTATTCCTGCTAAAATGGACAGCCGAGCGACGGCGGCGCGCCGCTGCGGAGGTGGAGGAGGGAGGAGGGAGGACGGAGGAGGGAGGAGCGAGGGAAAGGGGAAGAGCGAGGGGGCGGAAGGGAGAAGCAGGAGGGAGGGGGGGATGCAGGAGGAGGGAAAGGGAGGAAGAGGAGGGGGAGGGGAAGGGAGGAAGAGGAGGGGGAGGGGAGGAGAAGGGAGGAGGAGGAGGAAGAGGGGGAGGAGGGAGGAGGGAAGAGGGAGGAGGGAGGAGGAGGAGGAGGTACGTACCCTGCGTGCCAGCAGCAGACCGGTGCAGTAGGCTGCGGCGTAGTTGGTGAGTCCGCACGTGATCCCGTAGCGCGGTAGCTCGTGCGCGTATGCGGCAGCGATTATGACATCTCCCTCGATTCGTGCGTACGCAACCTGTGACACGGCACATCAACAAACACGCAACGTTATTAAAATCATTATTACAGTACCAAATCTATCAATCCGAAATTTTGAAAAACGAAAAGCTCCAAAAACCAAGTTTTTTCGTGGAGGTCGTCTGCACAGGGTTCACTGCAGAAATATAAATGTGTTTGGCATTACTCATACATATTGTACTCTACCGGTACAGCACTTGGCCTCTTGGAAACTTAGTATATAAAACAGGATTTATAGTGTTGGCTAATTGCAGAATATACAGTATGTATATCTGTACTGTACTGCCATTCCGAAATCCGAAAAAATTCCGAATTCCGAAACGTGTCTGGTTGCAAGGGTTTTGGATTTAATAGATTGTGTACTGTATTATTATTATTATTATTATTGTTACTGTTGTTGTATTATTTCAGGTAGATAGATAGACAATTTTTAATATTTACGTTATTACTATACTGGCAGTTTAACAGGGAAATACGAGAACACAGTATGAGAACTACTGACACATTTTGATAGGACAGATTACTGGTGTACAATAGAAGAACTTCTATGATACACTAACAGCATGTACTACTTCCTCCAACTTCCAAGTAGTAACTATCGTATACCTCATAACATAATACTGTAATTTCCCTAGACATTAATGGTAACTGTAACAATATTCCCTCGTGATTCAGGGAACCTATATAATATAGTGCTCATGCGCAGTGTTGACTCTGGCTAAGTTTAGAGGATCCGACATATAGCCACCATCTCTCCTGATGCACAATAAATGTGGTTTAGTTTCACTCTCAATCTTTTCTGCTATTCTCTGCATGGTTACACTCCTCGGCTGTTTAAATATTGAAACAGTAACCACCTAGCTTGAAGCTAAAAGTATAGAAGAAGAATCTGAACTGGTTTCTCATTATTCAGCTTATATATCAGTTCGTAGGCAGAAGGTAAAATGACAATTTTGAACATGGAACTATAGTTCACCTGGCAAATAATGTCTTTGTTTGTGAACCGCACGATCATGCGATACTTCGGTGTGTTGTATTTGTTCTTGTCCTGAACGACGATGCGTTTGCGGGCATAGTAATCGGTCTTTCCTTCCCTTCGCCTCTTAAATTTCACTTGGAACCTTTTGAAGTAGGCCTTATTCTTAACGACCTTTACAAACACCTGAAACAACATACGACAAACGTTAAACAGTGAATGATGATAAGCAATCATGGTTTAGCAGTATAGTTTTACGAACTATATATATACAGCAGGGCCGTAGCTAGCGGGAAGGGGGGGGGTACAAGGGCAGTTGCCCACAACCAGAAAAAAGTAGACACAATACATGGTCAAAAGCGGTCACCTTTTCAGAACACACCATGTACATGGCTTTGCCCACCCCCAGGAAAAATGGGTTAGCTACGCTTCTGTACAGGGGTCCTAAACTAGGATTGTGCAGAACGAAGCACTTGTACAGCAGATGCATGACAATCCGTAGCTCTAGTACTATAGCTGAGAGGGTCTATGTCCCCCCAGGGTACTGCCGGAACGTACCCTGGGTACGGTCCGGTATACCGGGACGTACCCTGGTACTATCTAATATGCCGGACCGTACCTCGCCTACTCCCTAACCCTAACCATATCAGATAGTTACCAGGGTACATTCCAGCAGTACCCTGGGGGACATAGACTCTATGAGCAGTACTATAGCAGATGGGGTCGTTGTCGTATCAGGTACTACAGATATGTACCCGAGGTAGTTTTAGGTTATTTAGTATTATGTTTATATTTTTATATGAAGTATGTTTAGGGTTAGGGTTAGTGTTAGAGTTAGTGTTAGGGTACACTTCTGTAGTACAAGTCTGGTACACTTTGTGTATACATATATCATATATGTACCTCGGGTACATATCTGTAGTACCTGATACGACAACGACCCCTTGAGCAGTACTATAGCCCTCGTTCGTCACAGGCGGAACGGCGCCTGTGGCTGTGGTGGACGAGGTCTATATAGTATTAGTAATAGTACCAAGTTGATAGTACTAGAGCTAGACAATCCGTAACTACATTTCCAACAAACAGAACATTCCACATAGATTAGGACCAGTGATAGGTGTATATATTGACGATACTCGTTAGTCACACAGCCTGGTCGGGTTACTTCAGAATCTCCGGGGGGGGGGGCAGACTGCCAGTGTCGACTCAATAGACGTGTGAAAGAAGTTTTGCTTGAACTTCCAGCACTATACAGCAATGCACAACGTATAAGCTATCAATAGACATACATATGCTACGTATATTGCTCAATGATACGACGCAACGTGTGGGCCGTAACACGCATAAAAAATGTAAACAATAACCAGTGTTACGAGAATGGGAAAATGGTAGGTATGACGTGCAGAAAAGCGCAATAGAAATCGACATATTTTGCAAAGAAAGGAAGTGCATCTGCTCACGCATCTCTCAGAATCTATTTATGGGGCATTAATGTTGATATAAAACCAACGAGTGTTTATGAAACATGTTACCATTTTCGTGCAAAGGCTGCAAAACCGGCAGATTTGGCAGAAAATCACACTAGGTAGAATGTCTATCATGGAAAGACAGCGCCATCTCACGTCTTTTATAACAATAATTATTTCATTTATTTTTAATGTTCTTAACTCACAACATTCGCGACATGTGCTGATATTGTTTACATATATTTCTTTATTTTATAGTGTGTTCTCAATTTGTTTTATGTGTATGATTTTATATTTGTCTCATGTATCTGCTGAAGAACCCGCTCATTCAGAAGCTGTCTTTAGTGATTACGTCACCGTAAATAGTAAAAAATGGAAAATATTTCTACTTTTTCACAAAATATAAGTAATTCTGTTTACATTTTATGGGTTAAATTGCTGCATTATACTTCCTATTTTTACTATATTGTTCGATGTGAGCATACACTCGTGACCCATACATAGCCATAGCAAGCAATTAATGTTAGACAACATTAATTCAAATCGTCCAGGTTTTTTGAATTTTTAACTAGTTGAGAAACAATCTTATCAGGTAAGAATTTTGACGATTTGTTTAGTCCCATTAGTTCTTACTTTTAATGTAAAAAAATATGGGAATTTTTTTTTTTAGAAATTTCACCATAGAAAATTCGTGACGTAATCCCTTTAAGCATTTGTAGCGCTATACATGTCTTGCCTTTCACTTTAAATTATTTATATGTGTATATCCAGAAATTCTTCGAAACCTTTAAAAGGGTAGCTTAAAGCTTTTAAACTTTTAAATTTGACGCGGCAGTGCCGGGAATTGGAAATGCTGCGAAAGGCTCTTTATAATTATTTACAGCTAGAAGTCAATCGGATCCGAATTTTTACTTCCTACTACTCTTGAGTAGGTTCTCTCTACATTAAACATGTAGTTTTAACACGTTGTGATTTCCTTTAGAAGATACTAGGCATGCCCACAGACGGGTCTGACCATAGATATCATATAACACATATGTTATATGATATCTATGGGTCTGACCGGCTGACCCTATAATCTATCAAAATATAACTCATCTGGTAAGATATTGCGCATGCGCTAACACACTTACGTAGCCAGATTGTGTATTGGCTGGTATATGCAGCGGGAACCCTATACATGCAAGGTCTTCTTCCTATTTCTCAAGTGAGCTGTCTACTGATAGAATGTTATTTATATAAATCTATGTTAGAAATACCTCCTCTCCATTTTAAATGCATAATTTTCGCAAAATATTTTTCTTCTCTGGAGATATTGCGCATGCGCGAGTACCGTTTCAGGCGTGCAGTACGGGTTGAAGAAAACTACGTAATATAGCTTGCCGAAGGAGAGAGGGGTGGGACACTGAGGCAAGGCAGAAGGGAAGATATCTGAGGGGCGGTGGAAGAAAAAGGAGGCTGAGCGAGGGACAAGGGGGGCAGGGGGAGAACGGGAGGGGATGAAGTAGGAGTTTTTGCACCGTATACAGGCTAGGGTGCTCTTCTAATTATAAACACAGTTCTACTGATAACAATTTATTACATAAATCTATGCTGAGATACCCCGTAATCATATTAAATGCATATTCATTACAAAATATAACTCCTCTGGTGAGATATTGCGCATGCGCTAACACACTAACGTAGCCAGATTGTGTGCAGCGGGCACCTTATACATGCAACCTTACTGGTGGAATGTTATCATATATATATATATATATCAGGAGTAGATAATAGGGATGATAGATAATAGGATGGGTAGGGGTGGGTAGGGATGGGTAGGGGTGGGTAGGGATGGGTAGATAATAAGATGATAGGAGTAGATATCTACTCCTGATATATATCAGGAGCGTATAATGACACATTTTTGTCATTATACGCTCCTGATATATATATATATAGGCTAGGGTAATCATCTTTATTTAAAATGCTTAATTTTTGCCAAATAGTTTTCTTCTCGGAGAGTCATATTCTTCTTTACTTCTTTTTTTCCCCATGTTGTCTTACTTCTTTTTATTCGTGTTGTTTGTGCACGGCGGCGTGCGTACGGTATACTAAAACTTGCGGCATTTACAGGAAATTATCAGAAATAATAGGCGAAAGAAAATCGAGAAACCTTAAGACTTTGGTAGTAAATACATGTCGTGTTTACCTACCATCATTTTACACATTGAAACATTGCGAGTGCATGTGCCGAGGGCGGCCAGGCCGCAAAATTGTTTTCGCACTTGAGTTCCGGACCACAGCCACAGCCAAACAGCGCACTCCATTCACTCGACTTCCTTGAAGCCACACTGTAAAATAAATACAACCTATTCCTAACCCTAACCCTAACCCTAACCCTAAATAAAATCAAACCATATATATAAGAACCATTTATTACAAAACACTATCTATGCTGGGTCTGGAACTCGAGTGGGAAAAAAAATTTCGCGGCCAAGCCTGGCAGGACATCCACGACGTCACGCTGGTAATCGTCCACAGCATTTGATATCGGTAATTTCTCATGTGTTAGGCTAGCCCATGTAGCAACATTACTGCGTGATGATTCTGGCAGCTTATTTGAAATACTAGAAGAATAGAAGAAGTGTGACTGGCTTATTTTGTCATTTAGTCTTTAGAAGCTCGACACAAGTCCGTTAGTGTGGTGTGCACTGGTTGATATGTCACTAAAAACTTCAAAGTCAGTCACTAGATGGCGATGTGTGTCCTACATGTCGAACGCAGCTGTATATTCAGTATTTATCAAGTGAATGAAATAATATTTTGTGGCAGTTACACTTTAAATTTAGAAAGTACATCCCCACTATCCGATTTCACAATCATTACCCGCCCATGTGTACTAAATTTATGATGTAGACATGTAAGAGACCTATGTTTACTGGTGTTCAATAGGCCCTACCTGCAAAATAATATTGTATTTCGTTGAAATTATAATTTTTAATTTAATTTTATATAAACGAAGCCATATCTGTTCTTTGACATAACAGATAAATCCCGATGTCTTACTTTAATAATAATAAGCCACGCACACACGCACGCCACACAACACGCAACGCACGCACGCACGTACGCACGCCACGCACGTACGCCTCTAGCTCTCTCTCTCTCTCTCTCTCTCTCTCTCTCACACACACACACACACCACACTTGCGGCGCCACCCGCACCACACACACACACACAACACACAACACACACACACACAACACACACGATGAGAGCACGAGAGCAGAGATAGAGCAGAGCGAGAGCCGCAGAGGCAGAGCGCAGAGCGGAGAAGAGATGGAGAGCAGAGAGCATGAGGAGAGAAGAGAGCAGAGAAAGCAGAGAGAAAGCA